GGGACGCTCATCATTCTCTATGAGCGGGATCACCCCTCACATCAGCTTTCCTTCTAGAGTGAGAGGTCTGCTGGGCAACGCCGGCTGAACGTCTGTGTTCAGAAATAGGAGATTTAGCACTGGTTCCCCGGGGGCTGCCTGATTGCAGGTAAACTTCTGCATGGGGGTATTTTGTAAGCAAAACGAAAATCCCAGTCACCTCTTCATTAGTGGCTCAGAGATCGTTGTTCTTCATCTCCCCTAATGACACGTTTGACTTTATATTAGACACGGAGGTGGCTGGAAAGATGAAGAAATAGAGGCCACCTAGAGAGATTCGTGGTCAGGAAACTCCTCAGAGCCAGGGGGGAAATCTAAATAAAATCCAGAAGTGAAGGAACGAAAAGTACGGTTCCTATTGCTCGGGATCTGACACACTGCACCCAGTGAGCTGTTGGATGCAGCATGGCACTTCTCTCCCTCCTTGGTTCTCCACAAAAGCAGCAATACTTAGCTGCAAGGGAATCTGCGGCAATGACACCTTTTCCATCATCGAGTGGGGGCCCAAACATGCATATATATATACATGTGTTTGTGTATATATATATCTGTATGTATGCACATATTCTAACCCATGGAGTCTGTGGATTTCTACATGTTTCCTTCCATTAGATTTTAGCTCTCTCCATGTCCCTTGTGGTGCCTGTCCCCGGCTGGAGCAATCTGTTCCGCAGCAGGGAGCCAAAAAATGAGGCTCTGCGATAAAGGGCATTGCAGCACACAGCCCTCAGGGCTGGCCCCAGGCCTCTGCAACACGGACCCATTGTCCCAGAAGGCTGCAGGCACCATTAGAAGTGAGAGCTCTGACTCGCTGAGCTATAAGTAAATCTTAACATTCTGCACAGAAGGATGTGGCAATGATTTGCTTCCAACACCAAATCAGCTGATGTTAACCCCACTTTATAGTACTTCTACATGGCAGAGATTTTTTATTGCTCCAGGCTGGACACAATTCCCATCAGAGGGAGAACAAGAGTGGAAGCTACCTGGGGATGGTCCCTCTCAGCTGGCCAGGAATGTGCATTAAATCCACCACGCAAACCCACAAGTTTTATCTCAGGACACAGCTGAGGACTGCACCACAGCCAGAGCAAAGCTCTCCCAGCACAAGTCATGTGCTCTCAGCTGGGAGCTCCCAATGCGGCAGCGCTCGCAGCAAGCAGCTGGCTCTCATGGGGATATAAATGCTGTCAGCATTTCTTCTTGCTTGGAAAAGAAACAAATCTCTATAGGACATCCAAGTCTGCTCTGTTAAACAGCACAGGCTCAGGCCTTGCAAGCAAGGAAATACTTGGGAAGGAGTTTTATAGAAGCAATGTTCAAAATTTGAGAATGATTCAGTGTCCTATTGTTGGAAGCAAATCACTACCACATCTCTCTGTGCAGCACATTAAGATTTACTCATAGTTCAGTGCTGTTCTGGGGCATACAGCAGGATGACGGAATCAGGGTGATGAGCACAGGACAGGACCAAGCTCTGGGGACAGAGGCAGAAAAAATGAATGTTCTTTCAGCCCAATTGCATAACGATTTTTGTTGTAGGTGTTCTGTGTCAGACACACAGCAGCAGGCAGAGTGGGATGTGCACCCGATGTGTTTTGGAGAGGTACCCCATGATGGCAGATCCCTCTGACTGCCAACATCAGTCAGAAAGAGCACCCAGGCAGGCAATTTGCAGGTTTCACAATTACTCAGGCTCACTTTGCATGCAAGAGGGAAAGGAAACGGCAGTGGGAGGACTGTTAGCAGAGAATGACAAAATTATGTGATCTGGGAGTCTGCAAGCGGTGGGAGGAAAGGTCCCAGGAAGGGGGGAAAAGAATGATTTCCCAAAGGCAAGCTGGAGTGAAGGAACAACTTTCTTTTGATCCACTGTTTTGTGTGCATTTGGCATTATTATGCAAATATCAGCTAACAAATACAGAAGAAATGCTGGGATGCTTTAAAAATTAAGGGGCAATTGTCTTACACCATAAATGTATTTACATGTAAGCCAATGGACCTGCTGCCATTTACATCAG